AATAGTCAGATATAAGGGAAATTATTCCTAATTATACAACAAAATATTAAACAATTATATGCAATAACAGTATCAGGTGCAATAAGTTAGGGCATTAGTCTTATCTGGGAAAAAAGAAATTTCAAAATAGGCCCTGAATGTATCTTGGATCTCCACAGACTTGATTTTATTTCCTGGGCAACTATTTAGATTAGGATCTATCTTAATTAAAATTTACTGCTTATATCATAATGGAAGAGCTGAAAACTATTTTCCTATTCTCCTAATGTCTCTGCTGTTTATGTGCTTGAGATGGCTAAGTGGTAGTCTGAAAATTGCAATAAGATTAGTAATTACTGGAGGACATAATGTACTGTTTCATTGCAGTGGAACTCTGAAAAATATTTAAACTAACTCTTTAAAGGAGAAGTAATTCATCATATTTTCCCTTTGTCATTCATAAATTTTACTTAGCTGAATTCTACAGTGAGTTTGCCTTCATAAAATGAGCACTAACACCACACCTTTTGAGACAGTTCTTTTATACCACTAAAATCCAAAATCCCTCCCTTTAGGACAGAGAAGCTACAGAGGTCACATGTTACGATTGATTTTCATCAAATATAGCTCTGAAGCTGTAATGAAGTAAATATATGGGAAGTTCTGGAAAAAATTGTACTGTTTTTCACTTTACTGGGCACCTGTGTGTTGCAGCAATAGATTAGGATTTTCCAAGTTAGTTACTTTTTGTTTCAGTGACATTGCTTCTGTCTTCTTCTACTGACAGCATAATCATACTCTCAAGAAAAACTGGTAAAGACTATTTTAAACTGGTTGTCTAACTCAACTAGCATGAAAAATTGCTTTTTTACTTAAACAGCCACAATATTTGTTTCAATAAAAAGGTACAAGGTCCTAAATGATATATTAAAGATTTTGGAAACAAATGCTTTCAATGTCCTTGATTTTAATAACAGGAAAGGGAAAGACTGTATTTCCATGAATATATTCTATTAAAAATTTGAAATGCCCTTGTATCACATAAGGTAAGAATTGAAACAATGTTCTTATTTGATAGTTTTTCTCAAATTGTGCTGATTCATTTGAACAGCTTTTCCCCATACTGGCTGAACCAATTCTACTCTGTTACTTTAGATAAAATACATTTTTTTCAGAAGGATTGTGGGAGTTGCTCTTTCTTATTTTATGCTAGTTGGATTTCCAGAAATTTTGCTATTGTAGCTTAAAAGTGAGTGTACTGCTTTGAGGCAAAACAATTCCTTGCCATAATCTCTCTCATTCTGAACTAAAATTGGAAAAGAAAAGGTAATCTGACTGTCTGAAATTGGATCATGTTCAGTGTAAGAGATCTTGCAGGACATTCTCTTTGAGGAAGGATATATAACAAAAAATTTTAAATTCCACTTAAACATGTGCTTTTTATATTTTAAATTGAATTATGTTTAAATATTTGTTACACAAGTTAATGTCAAATTGCAAATAATGAGTGACGCTAAGTACTTAAGTTCCCCTTTATTTCAGTAGCAATTGTTGGTCCTAAGCTCTGCTCAGGAGTTGGCATGGCTCTGTTGCCACAAAGACTTCAATATTGTAATAGAAAACTACTGAATGTATTCCTATGATCTGATTTCAAAACAACTCCTGCATTGTATTCACTGACAAAAGAGTATCTGAATCTAGCCAAGAATTTTAATAATGTCTAACTTAATGCATTTTGAACTAAAAGAGCTTGTGTTGCTAGGCATCAAATTGGTGATGCATGGAAAAATTGTTCACTGAAACTATAATATAAGCCTGCATGTACGAATCAAAAGTAGATTTTATGGATGAGCATGAAATCTAACTCTCTGGAAAGACCTGTATATTTAGATCAAGCCCCATTTTCATTGTACCCACAGATACCATTAGTTCATCATTTGATTTTATTTCTTTAATTGAATTTTTGGTAAAGTCTTCAGCTTTTCAGTAAGCATAAATTAAAAAAGAAATCTGTGATGCTTGCTGTAGTCAATGTGTAATATGTAGATTTTTGTATTCTATTAGAGAACAGAAATATTTTTATTTACAGAAAATTAAAATATTATCCCAAGCACTTAAGTACAAATGTATTTACCATTTAAGGGTTTTACCTATGACAAACAATATCAAAGTCTTTCAAAGTCATTGCTCTTTCAGTAATGGCATATGGTTGACAGAGAGGTCTCAGTAATCAACATGAAAAATGCCATTTACTTTTAAACTTTTCAACAACAAACTCATTTCAAGAACGTAAGTACTAAAGATCTTTTAAAAATATGATCGTTTTAACTTAAGACATCCTGAACATGTGCTGAATATATGTACCTATACTCACTGATTCCTACGTGCTTCCATGGAAGTCTCACAAAGAGCAGTTTCAGGACTGATCACAATTGGACTTCATTTAGAAAAAAGCAAAAGAGGTGCTGTATACAGGAAATTCCACACTATAAGCCAAAAGCCCAAACCCAGTGTATTTAAAATTTTAGCATTTGTGCATTGTTTTTATTTTGGTTTACTCTGACTTGCATTTTTAATTCAGAATCCTGTGGTTTTCCTTTTTCCTGAAATAATGCCATATAGAAGCATTTGTGTTTGTAGTGGTAGAGAGATAGGAGAGATAAGCTGGCATTTTAAGAATGCAGTTTAACATTAGAGAAGAGCATTAAAGAATCTGAAACTTTTCTCTGTTTAGTTATCAGATGGTGACAACGCAAAATCAAATAAATTGCCAGTGAGGTCTTAGTTACTGGATTAAAATTATAAAATAGATATTTATCAAGTATCAAATATTTTTATATATTTCATAAAAATAGCAACAATGAAGAAATACCTACTTATTTTCTGGGAAAACTGGATTATGGTAATTCTACAGCAATCTTCATACTAGTAAAAAATGACTTTTTTTTTTCTTGGGGAAAAGACTTTTAGACAAGGCTAGAATGGCTCGGATTTCTCTGGTGATGCTTGTCTTTTTTTCTGCCAAGATTATTTTGTTCAAGTTGGAAGGTGGTGAATTACTTTGTTTACTGCAAGTACATAAAGAAAATATAATGAAAATATGGAGTCTTTATGACTGTTTGTAGACTGTGGCTCTTAATCTCTCAGCTGGAAAAGCTCCAGTGAAACTCTACCCATTGCTGCCTCAAGATTTCTTTTCTGGTCTCAGGAATGAAGTGGAGCATGTTCGAAGGCTCTCAGATGAGCAGCCTTTTTTCATTAATATCTTTGAAAGAGGTCACTGTGTTAAGTTCCCTGAAAATGAAAGGTATCCTAATTTTTGTAACTCAGTACTTACAAAAAGCATATTCATCTTGTTCCATTATTTTGGACCTTATGTTTCCAGATTAAACTGTTAAGAAGCCAAAGTAGCACACATGTTACCTAAGGAAGGTACTCCTGTAGACTTACCCTCTACCTACTGAAAGGCAGAGAGGACATGCTTTACACTAGGATGACTCCATCCCTGGAGATGGCCTTCCATAACCTTAACTAATACTTCTCATGCTTTACAGCCATCTAAAGCCAATTAACAGGGGACGTACACTATGCTGCAGTGCTCAGTATATTTGAAATCTTTGCACCCTGTGACACAATCACCAGAAAATGTCATATATGCGGGAAGAGCTACAATATTTTTTTGTTCCACACAATAAGCATTTTAAGCTGCTTCTGAGAAAAATAGACTAGATAAACTTGTATTCTGAATGAAAAAAATGCAGTATAGAGAAATAGTATTGTACTGTTAGACTAAAAGGCCATTCATATATGTTTCAGGTTGGTTTTGTTTGGTTTTTGTTTCTTCATTTTTTTGTTTTTGGTGTTAATGTACATTTATAATTTCTTCTTTTTGTCTCATTGGTGTTTTTTCAGTATTTCAGCTGTATGAAAATACTGTGACTAATATTTTAAACTCCGTAATTTTTTTTTCTAAAAAGAATATTGCATTTGTCTTTTTTTTTTTTTTAAATCAAAACATAACAGGCTTGTGATTTGCAGAAATACTGTTGCACATGTTTCCAACTGTACCCTAGTCCCCAGAAATTCCATGTAATACTACATGATAGCTGGGAGGTTTTTTCTGTCTTTCTCGAGACTGTAATTCAATGATGTGTCTTTCTTGCATGTAAAAGTTAGTCTTTTGATTTATGGTTGTACCACAGGAAGCACATAACTTTAAATGTATAGCATTTACTTCAGACTAATATTCTTCATACAATGATTTTTTATACTTTTGGTTTTGCCTCTCATATCATGGTTCAAATTCAGAATTAGGTGGTTTGTATTTCCTTAGTATTCAGGAAAAGATTCATATGTTAGAGAAGTCAATAAAAAGTAAGCAGTTACAGAGCTAAGGGTGCAGTGTCATTTAAGTCATTTGGAGAATGGTTAAATAGTAAATTTGGTAAAAGAAAAAAAAGAAACTAAACAACAACAACGAAAAAGAAACTAACAGCTACATCAAATATGAGTCAGGTAGAGAATTCAGTTTAGGTGAAGCAAGAGCCAAAGGACTGACAGTTTGGCAAGCATGGACATGCTTTGAAAGACTTATTTCAAAACCGACACACAAAGCATTTAAGACCTCACTGTATTCATGGACGTATGGGGAAGTTTTTATTTTTCATATACTTTATAATTTCTTTTCTGAAAGTATGTAAAGAGCACACAATTTAAATTTCATTGCTGTAAAAGATTGTTCCTTTACTTAGCCGATGTAAGTATAAGTAACCTGTGTAACCTCAACTCTCTGGCTGTTATGGAACAATAATCATTTTCTGACAGAACCAGTTTGCAGGGGTTTCGTATGTCCACCACAAAGAAAAATTGTATGTCATCTTGGTTTTATTATATCCATCAGCTGGCTGCCCATTTGTTGTGGAGTGTCTGCTGTGACTTAGGGCCGTGACTCTATTCGGCTGTAATAGATTGCCTGTAGTGCATTCAGTGACTCTGGTACCTGTTGCTGGTTTTTTTTCCAGGTCAACTGGCTGCAGGTACATGTGAGATTGTTACTTTGGACAGAGATAGCAGTCAGCCCCGAAGGACTATAGCCCGACAAACAGCTCGCTGTGCATGTAAAAAAGGACAGATTGCCGGTACAACAAGAGCAAGGCCAGCGTGTGTTGATGGTAAGAAGCAAAAATCTATTCAATCAGTTTCTGCCTATACAAGAGGGGTGTAAACTGATAGTGTCTCATATAAATAAAACCCAACCAAACAAAAAAATACTCTATGGAAGAAATTTTCATGTGCCCCAACTAGCAATGGCAATACCATTGAAATTGATCCAAAGAGTATTACTTACTAATAGTATATAGATTTCAATTGGGTTTTTTAAATTGGAAATTTTACTTTTGTTTTAGATTGATATGCAGTTGAATATTAAGGGCATGGTGCTGTTATATTTTGCATCTGATGATAGAATTAGCAGTGATATGGCATCATCCATTTTCCCCCTACTTTTTATTCCTTTTAACATTGAAAGAAATGCTGCAAAAGAGCCTCAAGGGTCTCATGCCACTGGCGGGCTAATGCAAGATATTTAATGCTGTTGAAGAAAACACTGCTCCTATAGTTGGAATATAGTATCTGAATATACCTCACATGTCCAACATTCCTTCTGTCTTTTAAATGAAATTCTGTATGATTCACGGCAGATGCACTGATAACATGCAGCTGGAAAACTGCTCACATACAGGGAGATATGAAAATGTTTCACTGTGAAATCATTTTTTGAGACAAAGGAAATTCTCTGTTAGGGCTGTGTTAACAATGGGACAAACTTCAAGACAGGTCTGCCTTGCAAGGCTTTTAGGAAGCATTCATATTAAAAATGAAATTGGAGACATATTGAAAACAGTGATGCAAAATTGTATGTTTTGATCTAGGCCCAGTTGACAAAAGTGAAAAAAAGTAAAAAGATGCTTATGTATAGAACTATAATAAATTCATGGATTGCCTTTGAATACTGGCTGGTTTGAGTCCACAGATAAAAATATTGCTGAGAACACCCTACTGTTGCCTCAGAATTTGGTCGTACCAGTGATTATCAAAGAAGACAGCTCAAAGGAAATTTCAGAGCCTACCCACAAAGCTAAATATAGAACATCATGCACATTCTATTTTCGCATTTTCCTTTCACTGTTTTTAGTACTCTGAAGACAGTTTCTTAGCTGTTTCTTCCATAATATAATACTACATCCAGTAATTCTTTCCTGTTTTATTGTAAGATCATATGATTTAATTGCTTAAGAAAGGAATGATTTTATTGTGTCATTTATAGTTGTACCTTTAGTAAAAATACTTATTAGCAATTAAAAAATTCAACGCATGTTTCCCATTTTAAAACAAAAACCTTCTAAAGGGAAAAAAAGAGTTTTGCACCAGCTGATGGGAATGAAACATAATTTTTCCTCAGCCAGTTTTGGCCTATGGTGAGATTGATTTGCTGTAACCTGGGTATCCCAAGTTGTTAGTAGCTCCAGTTCTCCTTTATACCCAGTGGAAAACAAAAGGTACTTTCTCAGAGTAATTTATCTCACCCTAAGTGCCTAAGATAAATCAGATAAAGCACAAGTCTGGTACTGACTGTTTCTCTGTCATGCCTTAATAGGCCTGTGAGTGTCTTAAGATGAATCTTAGATAGCTGGAATGTACATGCCAGTAAGAAGACATGACTGCACCTCATTCTCCAATTACTATATTAGCTTATTTTCCGAGAATTGAAGCTTTGAGGTAATCTGATATTTAAAAATACTTTTTCCTTTTTTATTTATTTTTTTGAGGAACTCATTAAGAAAATCTCTTTCAAATTCTTCTTTGCTGTCAATGTGCTTGATCATAATTTTTTAAAAACAGAGAACTGGATGACAAGATCTGTAGTTAGAGGTGGTGTAACCAGGGAAGGGTCTTTATGCGGTACTCCACATTTGAAAAATAAGTGGGAAGTTCATCAGTTGAAAAACAAGGCTTCCCTGTTAGACACAATTACAGTGTCTAAATACTGTAATTAATTTTTTTGTTAAGCTGACAAAGAATCACGTGAAAAAGTCAAGGGATAATGGGTACAAGTTACTCCTGGAGACATTCCAATTAGACACAAGATGATAATTTTTCAAAATGAGAACAATCAGCCATTGAAATAATCTCCCCAGGGAAGTGGTGGATTCCCTAGTGTTGGACACTTAAGATTCAGTTGGACAGGATGCTGGGCCATTTTGTCTAGACTGTGATTTTGCCTAGAAAGGTTGGACAAGATGATCCGTGAGGTCACCTTCCAACCTGATATTCTATGATTATATGACATAGTTCTGATAAGATCTAATAACATGGTTCTTCATTATTTTGGAAAATATTTTTAGTTAGGATGTTGAGCCCTTTGCTAAGAAAGATTGCTACAAGATCTGTATGACATGCTACTTTGCTTTCCTGGACACTGTTAGGGATGCTTTTAATCAGAGCTCAAAAAGGTGAATGACACCTAGAACTGTATATCAAACTCCCAGATTAAAAAGAAGGGAAAAGTCAAATCTGTGATCTGTAGGTTTTTATCATGAAGAAATTAAAAAAATAGTTTTACGTGCCATCAACACAATAAGTGACAATAAGTGAGCACTTTATCGTGTCTCTAATCTTGTACTTGCAAGTAAAACTGGCATCTAAATTGACCATGGGCTGACAAGTGTCAATCTGTAAATCTACCAGGTCTGTAGTTTAAAGAGTATATACTGACTTTTTCGTTCCTAAAATGAAATGTTTTAGACAAAACTACTTAGTGCTTTATTCTGAACATGACATGAAAGCAACAGAAAATTATGTCTAAGAAAAGCTAGTTTCATCTCTGATATTAAGATAAATACAGCTGGTTTAGGAAAGTAGCAACTAACATAATTGATGGTTTGTTTGAGTTTTTTGTTTGCTTGTTTGTGGGTTTTCTATGTTTATTTTTTTAACTAAAGAATCCCATTTTCCCAACAAAAAAATAAATCATTCTCTGAGCTTCCTTAAATAGGATGTGGAATATACTTTTGCACATTTTCCTTTATTTATATTATGCTTCATGTTAAGAATATAACTGCTATTTGAGATTCCATTTCTGCTGTCAAAAAAAAATCAAAAACTTGGTTATTTTCATTTTATTATTTATATAGCCTTGATTTTAATGACATTATTTTTAAAGTAAAGGTAGCAGAATTAGACCTTAATAATTAATGCAAAGTCATTTGTGGAGGAAGCAGGCATAGTAAGTGTGACCTCCTAACCTACTAACAAGAAAATGTTAGCTAACAATGGTGTTACAGCTTCTGGCAAGAGAGTGGATTGAAAATTCAGTACCAAAGCTGGTAATTTTTACAACCTTAAAATGCATTGTGTTGTACCTGGCTACCATTTGTTCATTGTTCAGTGGAGAGAAGTACCTTAGAATATATTCAGTTATGCAGTATATTTCCTGGAGGTGTGAAATGCAAGTGTCAATTCCCTCAGCGAAAGGAGTAAGTAATTTAAGGGCTCTTAAACCTCACAAACATTGTCTGAGATTGCACTTGTCAACATAGCTCTTAGAGTAAGTCCTGAGTTGATTACCCAAGTCTACTCTGCTTTCAACTGCTGCATCACGTAAGGTCTTTTCCTAAGAAAGGAAAGACAGTGAATGTGACATGGATAAAACTGGAATTCATAGAAATGAAAATGCAGTGTTTAGGACTTGGTCTCAGCAGAGCGTAAAGAACAGAGATTTTTCTTGAAATGTTTCCCTCTGATGGAGAGGATTGAATTACTTTGTATTTTTTTTTCCTAACAGTCTTTAAGTATGGCAGATTGCTAATGTATTCTGAAAAAATGGCATCAATATTCACCCTGATTTAAAGCTTGATTTAGTGTTGATTGCTTCATTTCTGCACCCACAGAGTCATAATGTATATTTGGTATGTTAGGTTGTGATGTAATTTTTATTCATGAATGTCAGTTCTGTGGTATTATGACAGTAGTTTGCCTGCACTTTTCATTATATTATATTATTTATTACTAACGTTTCCTAGTCCCTTTTTTGAGATCAAATTCCAAAGAAATTACCTCAGTTGCGTTACTTTGATATTTTATTTCAACATAGCATCTGGTTTATCACCAGAGTAATTTCCATGTGTGTTGGTCAAGCTTTGTCAGTTTTTAAGCTGGAGCCTGTGAGAGATTGGAAGATAGCAATTATTCTCTATTTTTGTACGGTATATTTCCTAATTTAAACTTGTTTTAAGGCAAGTGACAAAATGTCTTTGATAACAATTTGTGTACAAATGCACCCCTGATTTGTGTTCTTTCTCAAAAACTGTGGATATCTGAAAGATTTGTTTTGCCAAAGCATTTCATAGAGTACAAGTAGAGCATCCTCAGAACTGTGGAATGAACATTTAAATATGCAATAGATTCCAGTACTTCTGTCCAATATATATTTATAGATAAAAAAAAACAAACCTGCAATTTTCTCCAGAAAATAGAAACAGGTGATGAGAGGAGTAGTTTAATTGCTTGAGAAAATTAGGATGGCAGTTGTTAATTTGCTTACCTGAATTCTGTGATTAGAAGATTCTTATGCTCTGGATTTGAGTACTGGTTACTTTTATGTCCACTAGCTGCTATGAGAAATCCTAGGAGATCAATCCTGATATCCAAAATTCTTAAATTTAGACTAGCTGGACCTCAGGTAACTCAATTCAAAGGGTTCAGACAATTTATGTTACAAATCAAACTGTGGTTTGTTTTTTGTTTACTTTACTTTTTAAAGTTTTAATAATATTTAATTGCTTTTCCAGTTGCTGTAGCAATATTGTTTTCTATCGTATGTTAGTTGGTATAAGTTGTTCATACATTATGATTAACATGCTTTTCAGTTGACATTGATTGATTTTGTTTAACACAGAAACTCAAGATCTACAAGGAAGCCACATTAGTTTAGATCAATAATTCTCTTCTCTTCTCATTATCTCTAGGAGTCTGTGGGGAGGTGTAAGGGTCAGAACTGATCATTAATAAAATCCTAGGTCATGCACTTGAAACAAAACTGCTTAATACCTGGAGAGCTTCATCATTCTAAATTATCTTATACATACTGCAGGGACAAAAAAAGAAAAAGAAA